GCCTGGGTGGCTCAGTTGGTTAAGCGACTGCCTTCGGCTCAGGTCATGATCCTGGAGTCCCAGGATCGAGTCCCACATCGGGCTCCCTGCTCGACGGGGAGTCTGCTTCTCCCTTTGACCCTCCCCCCCTCATGCTCTTTCTCTCTCTCTCTCAAATAAATAAATAAAATCTTAAAAAAAAAAAATGCTTTATTACTAAAAAATGCTAACCATTCTATGAGCTTTCAGCGAGTTGTAAACACTGATCACAGATCACCATAACAAATATAATAGTAATGAAAAAGTTTGAAATACTGTGAGAATTACCCAAATGTGACACAAAACATAAAGTGAGCAAATGCTGTTGGAAAACTGGTGCCATTAGAGTTGCTTGATGCAGGGCTCCCTTCAGTTTGTAAAAAACTGTGAGATCTATGAGGTGCAGGAAAGCAAAGTGCAGTAAAATGAGGTACGCCTGTAAGGTTATGTTTGCTCTCTAAAGTTAGTTGGTTTCATTAAATGAACACTGTTGTGCTTGGCCTTTCTAGTTAGATCAGCATTTTTCTGAGGATAAAGAGTGAGCATCCTAATTCATGTTTTAGGATTCGTGCTTTATGCATAGCTGATGCTCAGAATGTGGGATCAATAATTGAGAAGTTAAATAACTTGCCTTGTATGCAGAGGTTAAGGTTTTAATTTGGCTTTGGTAGAAGAACTGACTGCCTGAAAGATCAAAAGTATAGTTCATTATTTAGCTATGTTTTCTAAAAGACAAAATTCAATATTGCTTGAAATGTTGTTTAAAAACTGGGAAGAATTGAAGAAGGAGATTGCTTCTTACAAAATAGTGATTGGGTAGAATTTCTAGTGTCAGGATATGGTATGTGATTGACTTCACTTTCCTTGTGACCATGTTTCTTCCTGTTGCCCCCCATGGTAATTACTTGTTTTTGTTTTCCCCTTTTTTTCAGAAAAGCACCGAGGATTTGCTTTTGTTGAATTTGAGTTGGCAGAGGTGAGAAAATTCTGTGTGACCTGTGTTTAGTCTTTGGCTTATCTGAATGTTGTTACTGGTTACAAAGGCAGCTGGACTCCATTTGGTTAGGTTTCTAGGCCTCTTGCTGATGCTTCCATAGAGACAGGACGTGCTGCTTGATGGAAAACTTCCCTCAGTTAATCAAATTCTAGACTGTCAAAAGCATAGACGTGCCCCTCTTACTCTGCCGAGCTCCTGTAGCTCTGCTCGCTGAGGCTTCTTGCCTGGCAGCGCTGGTGAATATTTCTTATGCCTTCCTGGAGATGGCAGATTGCTGCACCACCAGCTCTGAACTCAGCCAGGAAGCATTCTTTGTTAGAGACACATACAGCCTTAGCAAGAGGTATAGATGTGACTTTTTCCTCTTTTGTTTTGTTTTACTTTGTTTTTCTGTTGCTGAGTATATGTTTAGACACCACAAGAAGCTAAACTTGACCTTGTCTTTTCTCGGCAGGATGCCGCAGCAGCTATTGACAACATGGTATGGCTGAGACTCTTCATTCTTACCGAAGTTGCTTTTGGGTGGTACGGAGGGTCCTTGTGCATCTGTTGGTTTGCCGAACTGCCAAGTTACAAGGTTGCACGGGGAAGCAAAAGCTGTCAGCGTGTGAAAAGATTCACTGTGAATCGATCACTTTTAAGACTGGTCCTTACTCGAACGTCCTTCCCCGTTTAACGGTGATATACATTCGAACCCTTGTTATAGGCCAGTCTCTCACTGGCTGCCCCATGTCTAGGATAATAAATTGCAAACACTATGTAAATTGATTGCACAGTGAAATAGCATATTTTGCAGAAGGGGCAGAATATCCTGAAGCCTCAGAGCAATTACAAGTGAGGAGAAATTTCCAGTAAGGATAGTGGCAGGGTATGCTACTGATGCCAATGATTTAAATATCCTGGAGAGGTCTTTGGGAGTAATGATGAAACGCTGGAGTATTTGTGTCCTCTTTGAGATCTTTGTGATTTTCACATCAGATAGGAAGTGCAGTGATGTCATATCATACTATTGATAGAATTTTGTTGGAAAAAACACTGCACATTAACCAGCACCTGTTACATCTTTGCTCTACAAATTAGTATGTAAACCTGAAATTTATAATAAATTTACTTCCCTTATTTTTAGTTTCATCACAGTAAAGTCCCATTCCTTTTTTTTTTTTTCCTTCACTTTTTACTGTGACGTTTTCTTCACTGCTCTAAATGGATTTATGTGAAGTGACCGTTCCTGGTACCAATTATCTTTGGAGGATAAAGTTCTTTATTCCTGTTCTGTTACCTGAACATCTTCAGCCCCCAGAGATCATTTCTCACCATTTTAAAGCAGATCTTGACTTTTGAAGGTGAACTCAAGTACTTGGAAACTGCTTGTATCCTTGTAATCCCAGGGCACTCTGGACCTGGAGTCACTTTCAGGAGCACAGGTTTTTGCTAGTATGAAAGAAAGGAGGTGTGTGGTGGGGGGAGATTGCCTGCAACCCGTGGGCTGCTGTGTGGCGGGCACAGAGCTTGCTGTTAGGGGCTCACGGGTTAAGGGAGAACAAATCATGAGCGTGTCTCGGATGTATCAAAACCAAACGCAAAGCTGTCTGACTCTCTTAACCTGACAGAGTTAAAGCAGCTGGGTGTTCAATCTTTACAGAATGAATCTGAGCTCTTTGGACGGACAATTCGTGTCAATTTGGCAAAACCAATGAGGATTAAGGAGGGCTCGTCCAGGCCAGGTGAGTGGGGGCAACCACAGGTTCCCTGTTATGTCCTCCAGTGTGGCCTTAGTTGCTGCATTTTTATCCCAATTTACTTGGAAAAGGTGCTGATCGCCGCTATGGATGCAGAGGAGTAGAGAATGATTCATGTTGGCAGAGGGCATGAGCCACCATTGTAGGGAATGAAAAAGAGTTTGAGCTTCTCAGAGAAATTGTTTGCATTATGAGAGAAACCCTGCCTGCTCGCTTCTCTTTCCCAGTTTCCTCAGCATTGGTTCCTGAGATGCTCCCGTCCAGGGCTGGAACTGGCAAGGCAACACCTTCCGTCTTGGCGCAGTTTTTTTACTTAGCCTTGTAAGAGCTGGACATCAGGACTGACATTCCCAGTGGAAACATTATACTTGGGAGTTCCCTCAGCGAAGCCTCTGGCTCAGAGGGCCACGGAGTGTGTTCCACTTTGCTGACCAAAGCAGCTAGCAAGCAGTTGGTCGAGAAGCTTGCATTTCTTAGCATTTGTTCGATTCTTTTCCTTTCAGTTTGGTCAGATGATGACTGGCTGAAGAAGTTTTCTGGGAAGACTCTTGAAGAGAATAAAGAGGAAGAAGGGTCAGAGCCTCCCAAAGTAGAAACCCAGGAGGTGAGATCGAAGGCATGCGCTTCCCCTCGAGGGGCTGGCACTTTCCACAGGAGCTTTTTTTTTTTTTTTTTTTTTAATGTTATGTTTTTGTGGAAATTTGCAAGTACATATACAGAAGCAGAGAGAATGAAAACCAAAGTCTTAGTATTGTGGTAAAGGTGGTATTGAGTGAGTGAAAGAGAAGCTCTGGGTCTATCTCTCACCTTTGTGCTCTGTGTAATGAGCTGTTCCACTCTGCCCAGTTCTGCCCAGTCCTGGGTTGGGATTGCCTGAGGTGAGGGAGGCGAGTGGGTGCTCCTCTTCATCCCTCCTGCCCAGTCCCTCCTTCACTGGAGCGCTTTGCACAGGCTCATGGTCTCCCTGTCCCCGCCCCGATGCAGGGGAGGCGGGCCAGGGTGGTGGCACCTTCCCTCAGTCTGCACACAGGTTCGAGGCTCTCCCTCGCCAGGAGCAGCCTGCTGGCAACTCTCTCCTGACTCTGGGCATCCCTCTCTGGCTGGCTCCTTGGGCTTTCCCACCCCTCCCTGTGAGTGTTGTTCTCTGGATTTCTTTCTTGGCTCAGGGCATCCCTCTCCCTCTCCCCTTCTCCTCTTGGCTGAAACACTAGCAGTCACGGGTTTTTTGCAGCCTCTCCTGGCCTCTGTTCCTAGGGTCAGGCTGCGCACATTTCGGCCGCAAGTGTCACAGGCAGCTTCGAGTTGCCCAGAATGGGTGCCCTCCTCTCTCTAATCTTGTTCTTCGTCTTGTTGATTTGCCACCACCAATCCGCACACACACTGACTCAAGCCAGAAATTTGGTTGCAAAGCAGAGCACACACATGGCCTTCACAGAGATGCCTTCTGTAAAACAGCCAGCACATCACATGCTGCTGAGTTTTCCTCTCAAACCTTCCTGAGTCTCCCTCCCCCGTTTGTCCCACTGCCCCCAGCAACCTCTTCTCCTGCACATACTTGCCGAAGCTTCCTAACTAGTCTCTGGTGCACTGCTCTCTAGTCCTTAAATCAGGCCAGCTAGGAATGATCTGCTGAAGGCACAGACTGATGCCCTGACTCCTGCTGAGAACTTTTCTTAAAGATTTTTTTTTTTTTTTAATTTATTTGAGAGAGAGCACATTAGAGGGGGGAGGGTCAGAGGGAGAAGCAGACTCCCTGCTCAGCAGGGAGCCCGATGTGGGACTCGATCCCGGGACTCCAGGATCATGACCTGAGCCGAAGGCAGTCGCTCAACCAACTGAGCCACCCAGGCGCCCTGCTGAGAACTTTTCAGTGGCTCCCATCACCCATTCCAAGGGATAAAATTGGGGGAGGTGCTCCCCAGCTCCTGTCCCCACACCTGGCCGTCTCACTTCCACCCTCTAGAAACCCAGTCTGTTTCCCTGTCCGTCCTTGCTTTTGTGCAGGCTGCTCAAGTGTTTATTGCCTGTCCCTTTCTAGGCAGGGATTCTGTGAGGTTAGGGGCCTTGTATTCAGCATCTTATTAACTAAAAAGTGTGGTGGAGGAATGTGGTTAAGAGCATGGGCTCGGGGGTGGGGTGGGATGATTTAGGTTTAAATTCCAGCTTCACCCCTTACCGCCCTCTTGTTTGGACAAGTGAGTGCACTTCACTGTACCTCCATTGCCCCACTTATAAAATGCGGATAAGGGACGCCTGGGTGGCTCAGTCGTTAAGCGTCTGCCTTCGGCTCAGGTCATGATCCCAGGGTCCTGGGACCGAGCCCCGCATCGGGCTCCCTGCTCCCCGGGAAGCCTACTTCTCCCTCTCCCACTCCCCCTGCTTGTGTTCCCTCTCTCGCTGTGTCTCTGTCAAATAAATAAATAAAATCTTTAAAAAAATAAAATGCGGGTAAATAGTGGTACGGCTTCATGCTCAGGATGGTTGTAAAGAGTTGATGAGCTACATATGTCAACGGGGAGAGCAGCCCCCTGCCCGTGGCAGGCACTCTGTGCGTGGTTGCTGAGGCTGGTGGCAGATGACAGCCAGCGGGTCCTCCAGCGCTGGGCCTGCGCACACGTCGGCTAAACTGAACCCCAGACCAGTTGTGAACATTTGACTTTTCTCTTTGGAACACATGTGATGCCTGCAGATGTCTCCTCGGGGTAGAAAACAGGGCCCCCCTTCCCCCACTGCCTTCTGAGCATGCCAGAGGGCTGCCCTCCTGGCTTCCCTTGTAGCCAGCCTGGGGGTGCGCAGGGCCAAGCGTAGAGGAGGATGTGCTGTCCGTCTGGCTGGCGTGAGGTGGCTTTGCGGGTGCGGAGAGGCGCGCACTGCGGGCCAGGGAGCTGGGGTTCTGGGACCACAGGCCAGGGTGCAGCGAGCTGGCGTCTGAGGGCAAGTGGGACGCGGTCCCGAGCCTGTGGGGTCGGTGGGGAGGGGGGCAGTTATTTAGCCGGTGCTCGGGGTCCCGGCCCTGGGGCTCCGGCTGGCGGCACCTTGCTGCGGCCAGCTCGCTGCCCTTGGGTTCTTGGTGTGTATGCAGAATACCCGCTCTCCGACTTGCGGAGTCTAGTGCTCCCCAACCTGACATTTCTTCTGCGCCCAGGGAGAGCCCACGGCAAAAAAGGCCCGGTCGAATCCTCAGGTGTACATGGACATCAAGATCGGGAACAAGCCGGCCGGCCGCATCCGGATGTTGCTGCGTTCTGACGTTGTTCCCATGACAGCAGGTGAGCGGGCTGTGGGCCAGATGCCGGGGCTGCCGGGGCGGGGTGCGGGGGGCTGAGCGGTGGGCCTTCCCCAGTTCTCACTGCCTCCGCTCCTGTGCTCGTGACAACCGCTGACCTGAGTGGATTTGAGGCATCTCAGATCCTGGGATCTAGTAACAGATTGAGTCCGACCAGGCACTTTTGAAGCTTTATAGGTGCTGCTTTGCTATTTTTTAATAATAAGAGGGTGTTTGTTTGTTTGTTTTTTTAATGTAAGTAAACACGTATTCGTGGTTAAACAAACAAAACCCAAAAAAACTGTACACACATACTCGAACGATACTGAAGGCAGTAAGTAGAAAACATCCATGTTCCCGCCTCCACGTCCAGTTTTACTCTCCAGAAGTAACTGCTGTTAACTAACAGTTTCTTGAGTCTGTCTAGTGTAAATATTGACTTCTCATTCTTTTCTTTTTTTTTAACCTAAATTTTATTATGTAGGCATATAGTTTACAAAGTTAATTTCACAAAGCTTGTTTTGAAAAACAGCAGCCCCTTAGCCCCCGGTACTGGCCCCTGGCCTTGGCGCCCCACGGCGCTCCTCGGAGGCAGCCAGTTTCAACTCTCAGCTGGTTCTTTCGGTTTTTATCTCCCTTTTGGTAGATAAGAGGTTTATGTTGTTATTTCCTGGTTTTTTTGTTTTAGACATCTGTTGGCTTCCCACTTTAGGAGATAAGGAATCAGCTTTTTAAATCCCTTTCGCTGCCCCTTCATCTTACTCATAGAGTTACCATAAGTTTGCTTAGGCCATAGGTTATTCTGACTACGTAAGCATTATACTAGGGTAACCTCCTTTCACACACAGCATTTTGCTTTCCTGGGATTCGTAATTGTCTTGTTTTCATACAAGCTTAGTCTTCTGTGCATTTATTCCTGATGCTCCCCCTAATTCTGCTGCCTGTGTAAATCTTTCATCATGTTCACACACCCCAGATATTCTGTCAGTTTCCCTCTCCTGTAGAAGTTCCTCTTTGGAGCCTCTGACTCTCTCCAGCCTGGACCACGGCTTTTCAGGCTCACTGCACAGCAAGTGTGGTAGGGTCTCTTGTGTTCGCCTCTTAGGTTGGACTCTCTGTTGTCTTCTTTTTTGGTGCTTTCCCTCATTTTAGTAGAAGACATCCTTCTGTAGCTTCTGCAGCAAAGAACTTGGGAAGTAAGTTTTTTGAGAGTGAAGACTAAATATATGTACCTTCCCACTTGATGGATAGTTAGGGTATAGAATTCTAGAGAAGTCTAATGTCATTCTGATTCTTGATCCTTTATATAAAACTTCTTTTCTGTCTAGTCCTGAGCTGTCCAGTATAGTAGCCACTCACCATATGTGACTATTGAAATTTAAATTAAATAAAATTAAAGTTCATTTACTCAGTTACACTAGCCAGATGTTTAAGAGCTATTCCCAGCCCTCCCTAGATAGAGGCTTGCAGGGTATCTGTCCTGTGTCCTGAAACCATATGCCTTTGGACAGACCTTACATGATATGGATATTCAGTGGGCCTCGCTGTATTCATTTGCTCTTGCTGTTGTCACAGATTACCACAAACTTAGTGTCTTATGACAACACAAATTTATTATCTCCCATTCTGTAGGCCAGAAGTCCTGTAGGCTACAATGAAGATGGTGGCCGGGTCACTGCCTTCCCTGCTGGAAGCTCTAGGGGAGGATGTTTCCAGGGATACTCACGTTGTCAGCAGAATTCAGTTCCCTGTATCTGTAGGACTGAGGTACCCCATTTCCCTGCTGCTGTCAGCTGAGGGCTATCCCCAGCTTCTGGAGGCTCGCAGCCCCCCTTTTCCTCCACCTTCAGAGCCAACAGTGGTGGATCCAGTCCCTCCCACATTTTGAATCTCTCTTTCTAACCTTAGCTGGGAAAAATTCTGTCACAGGCTCATGATTATATTAGGCCCATCTGGATAATTGGGGCTGCTTTCCCCATCTCGAGGTCAATCCATAACCCTAATCACATCTGCAATGGCAAGGACGTCTTTAGGGGGCCATTACTCTGTGTACCACACCCACAGGACAGTGTTTTATCCTCTAGTTGGGAAAATTTCTTTCAATTATTTCTTCACTTTTGTCCCCTCTGATTTCTCTCTTCTTTCTGGAACCTTCCTAAGTGTTCTTTTTCTATAACACTCTGTGCTTATTTCCCAGAGGTAATACCATTTCATCTTTCCGAGGACATTACTAAAGTTTTTTCTTCCTATAGTTTATGTCTCAAATCACTTTTTCCTGAGTTAATTATGTTTTGCTTTGTGTTTGGTCTGTTTGTTTTGGTCTTTGCTTTTCACATTAGATGCCTTCCTCACCTAAGCCATGGTAAGGCTTGCTGGCTGTGGCTTCCACGGTGATTCAGTTGGGGTCTTTCTCTGTCAGACCCCAGATGTCCGTTTCCCTGACTTCCCTTCTCTTGGACAGCTTGGAGTCCCCCGAGAAGAGTCTAGCCTCCTGCTGGAGGCTCTGCATCCAGGTATTAGCCATCGTGGCGGCGGCGGGAGATGGGGGCAGTATATAAACTTTCACTTAATCTGTTTGTCATTACGGTACCTCAGCCCCTGGCTATGTCTAGTATATCCCAGTCCAGAGACCTCTGCTTTAACCTACCAGAGAGCAGACCTCCAGCCGGCTGCCCGTGGGGGTCAGGGGAGGATCTGGGGGTTGGCTATTTTCTTAAATAGGCTTTCAACCAACTTTACTGTTTTTAGAACTACCTTCACCTTTTACCTGAGCTTTTGGCATTTATGCAACATAAAGTGAGTTTCTTCTCAGCTCTACCAGCTTAAGATTCAGCTTTCTTTTCTTTTTTTTGTCTTAAATGTTTCAAGTTTTTATTTAAATTCTAGTTAGTTAACATACAGTGTAATAGTAGTTTTGGGAGTAGAATTTAGTGATTCATCACTTACGGTTTGCTTCCCTTTTTTTTTTTTTCTTTCCCCTTTGCTCATCTGTTTTGTTTTTTAAATTCCACATATGAGTGAAATCATGTGGTATTTGTCTTTCTCTGACTGACTTATTCCGCTTAGCATAATACCCTCTAGTTCCATCCACATCACTGCAAATGCAAGATTTCATTCCTTTCTATGAATGAGTGATAGTCCATTGTATATATACACCACATCTTCTTTATCCATGCATCAGTTGGACATCTGGGCTCCTTCCATAATTTGGCTATTGTTGATGATGCTGCTGTAAGCATCGGGGTGTAGCTGCCGAGATTCAGCTTTCTCAAGTCTGCTACATCGCGTATGATTCGTCTGTTTTCTAGCTTTCAAAACTTTTATGTTGCTGTTGTGTCCCCTCTCTTTTGCTCTCTTTTTTTTGGCCTTTTTAACCTTTTTTTTTTTTTTTTTAAGATTTTATTTATTTATTTGACAGCACAAGCAGGCAGAGAGGCAGGCAGAGGGAGAGGGAGAAGCAGGCTCCCCACTGAGCAGGGAGCCCGATGCGGGGCTTGATCCCAGGACTCTGGGATCATGACCTGAGCCGAAAGCAGATGCTTAACGACTGAGCCACCCAGGCACCCCACTTTTTAACCATTTTTAAATGTATAGTTCAGTGGTATTGATTGCATTCACAATGCTGTACAACCATCACTGCTGTCTTCAAAATGTGTTCACCCCATACTGAACTGCGGACCCCGTTAACCCACTCCTCATTGTCTCCCTCCCGCCCCTGGTGGCCTCTAATCTACTCCCCATCTCTGGATTTGCCGGTTCTAGACATGTCCTAGAAATAGAATCATACAATATGTGGCCTTTCCTTTGTAACTGGCTTTTTTGACTTAGCATGTTTCAAAGTTCATCCGTGTTATAGTATCTGTTGGGATTCCATCCCTTTTTTTTTTTTTTTAAAGATTTTATTTACTCATTTGAGAGAGAGAATGAGAGAGAGAGCATGAGATGGGGGAGGGTCAGAGGGAGAAGGAGACTCCCCGCTGAGCAGGGAGCCGGATGCGGGACTCGATCCCGGGACTCCAGGATTATGACCCGAGCCGAAGGCAGTCGCCCAACCAACTCAGCCACCCAGGTGCCCTCCATCCCTTTTTTATGGCTGAATAATATCCCATCGTCTGGATATGTGACATGTTGTTCGTTCATTTGTTGATGGATACGAGCATTGTTTCCACTTTCTGGCTATTGTGAATAATGCTGCTGTGGACATTCGTGTACAAATATGTGTTTTAATGCCTTTTGTCAGCTCTTTGTGTACATACCTAGGGGTGGAAATGTACTGACCTGGCAATTCTGTGTTTACCTTTTTGAGAAATTGCCAAACTCTTTTCTACAGCGGCTGCACATTACATTCCCACCTCCAGTGTATGAGGGTCTCAGTTTCTTCATATTCCTGCCAACACTCATTATTTTCTGTTGATGATGGCCATCCTAGTGGGTATGAAGCGGTATCTAATTGTGGTTTTGATTTGCATTTCCCTAATGACCAATGGTGTTGAACATCATTTCGTGTGCTTATGGGTCATTTGTGGATCTTTGGAGAAATGTCTGTTCAAATCTTTACCTATTTATCAACTGGGTTGTTCGTCTTTCTGTTACCGAGTTGTAGGAGTTCATTAAATATTCTGGATATTGAACTCTCACCAGATAAAATTGGCAAATACTTTCTCCTGTTCTGTGGGTTACCTTGTCTGTTGAGTGTCCTCTGATGCCCAAAGGTTTTTAGTTTTGATGAGGTTATTTATTTTTTCTTTTTTGTTATCTGTGCTTTGGGTGTCATATTTAAGAAACTGTTACCAAATCCAGAGTCGCAAAGATTTGCCGCTGTGTTTTCTTCTAAGATCCTGTTTGGTTTTTCTTCAAAAAAAAAAAAAATCAGTTGCCCTCCATTTAGAGTGGAGCAGAGCTGGAATGCAGGTGTTCAGTTTTCCTTCTTAACCAGAGTCCCTCTAGTCCTTCACAGTGTGAGGATCACAAAGGTTTGGAATACATGGCATATTTTTCATTGAAAATACAAACACTAAACAAAGACAGTTTATCAGATTCCAGCTACAGAGGTTTTGGGGTTTTTTGGTTTTTTTGGGGGGGGGGTCATTTTTGTTTTGTTGTTTGCTCAAAGACTTTTGTGTTATTAGAGTACATGGGCTAGGAGTGACGGGAGGGGGTAGCTCGTGGGCAACCACTGTCCTGACCAGTATCGGATGCCCATCCCGATGGCCACCAATTTGCTAGAGGTGCTGCCACCCTGCACGGCCTCACGGTTTTCCCGATGCGGCCCACCAGCTCCCAGCCCTGCATCCCGATCCCGCCCGCACGCCCACTGCGCGGCCCATCCCAGAGCCCGTCTTCACGTGGTCGAAGCAGCTCGGTCGGGCCTGTCTGTGGGGCTCCACGGCTCCTGGCATCCCGCTCGCGGCTTCAGTGGCTCCCTTCCTCGTCTCCCGTGGCACGCGAGGCAGAGCATACCCACGGCCTGAAGAACGGCTCTGTTTTGTTTTCTGACCTCCGCACCTTTTCCTTTCTCCATGCCAGAGAATTTCCGATGCCTGTGCACCCACGAGAAGGGCTTCGGCTTTAAGGGAAGTAGCTTCCACCGCATCATCCCCCAGTTCATGTGCCAGGGCGGCGATTTCACGAACCACAACGGCACGGGGGGCAAGTCCATCTACGGGAAGAAGTTCGACGATGAGAACTTTATCCTCAAACACACGGGACCAGGTGGGAGCCGATGGGACGCGGTGGCGGGTACGGGGGGACAGGGCTCGGGTCTGCAGGCGAGCCAGCCGGTGACCCAGCGGCCGCGCGGCCTGGCGGGAGTCGGGGAAGCGGCTTCCATCCACTGCCCCCACACACCCCCTGGGGTCTAGCTTGGGTTCTGGGGCCTGCCTTGGTGAGCTGAGTCCCTCAGCCCCGCTGCCCTGTCCTGTCAGACGTACCCCTCTGTGAGTGGTCAGTCCCCCCGCGACTAGAGAAAGCTCTGTGCTGAGTGGTCATCTTGAAATTTAGGACTACACTTCTTCAGGGGCCTGGCAGCGTTACTAGAGCCCCTCAGTTAATCGTGCTCTGTCCCCGTCCGAGACGACAGTTGCTCGCTCCCTCCCTCCCGAAGCCTCCACATCGCCCTCCAAGCTGATGCGTGGTCCCCTGGGTCCCCCGCCACGCGCCCGCTCTGCCTTCCCTCCGAGGACAGGCAGGAGCTGTCTCCCTGCAGCCGGCCCCTCTGCTCGTGGCCCGGACCCCATCCCCTCTCTCCCACCTAGGAGCGTGGCTTCTGTAGCTGTCCCCCTGCTGCCTCGTGGCTGCGTCCTCTGCTAGATCAGCCCAGTGGCGTAAAACTGTGCGGTATCGATCTTTGAAAAAAAAAAATCATCCTTTGACTTGTGTGAGCTGTCATCCATGCCTCTCACCCCCTGGTAAGGAAAAGTCGTGTAGACTGCCCTGCCTTCTGTTCTGTCTGTCCCCCTTCCGCCAGACCTCGAGCCCCAGCCTGGCACTGGAGCCACTCCTGTCGCAGGTGCCAACAGCATCCATCTTGCCAGTGGCCAGTGCTCGGCCCGCATCCCGGGCCGGCTTCCGGCAGCATCTCCCCGGCTCAGTCTCCTGCGCAGATGTCCCTCTGGGGGCCGGGAGCCGGCAGGAGGGGCTGACGTGCTCCTTCTTTCCCCCAGGCCTGCTCTCCATGGCCAACTCCGGCCCAAACACCAACGGCTCCCAGTTCTTCCTGACGTGTGACAAGACGGACTGGCTGGACGGCAAGCACGTGGTGTTTGGGGAGGTCACGGAAGGCCTGGATGTCCTGCGGCAAATTGAGGTGGGCGGCTGCCCGGGCCCTGGGTGCGCAGCCCTGTGGGAGAGCTGGACGGGGGCCGCGGCGGCTCCTGGGGAGGGCTGCTTCTGCTCAGGCGGGGGCGGGCACCTGGGGAGGGTGTCCCCGAGCCGCTCCTTACTTCCCACCCTCTTCCTCCTCTGTCCCCACAAAGACCCAGGGCAGCAAGGATGGGAAGCCAAAGCAGAAGGTGATCATCGCCGACTGCGGGGAGTACGTGTGAGTCCGCACACGCTGTCTCCGCACTGCCCCTGCCTATCCAGGAGCCGTCAGCCTGGGAACCAGCACGTGAGGGCGTCTGTCCCCTTTGTGGCAAGCAGGGGTGTGTGTCGTGGCCCTTCTTGGGGGTCAGCTTGGAGCAGCTCTTCTGCAGACTCGGCCCGGGCTCCCTCTGGCTCTCTCCCAGGTGTGGCCGTGGGCCCGGGAGCTCGCAGGGGTCCCCATTGTGGACGGACGGTGTGTGGCCTTTTCCAGGCCTTTGCTGCCACGGCTTCTCCTGGGCCCACCAGCGGGGCTCCTGGACATCGCTTCTGGTAAAATAAACCCGAGTTCTTGTACTGCAAGTCCAGCTAGTTCCTAGGAGTTGTCCGAGATTGCATCTCTGCTGAATTAGGCTGGCAGAGGGATAGGGCATAGCTTTTCTTTCCTCCCTTGGGTGGATTCCCTGAGGTGCCAGGTGGTGTATCTTCAAGCCAGGTACCCTTGTCAACCCACGGTCAGGACAGTGGAAATCAAAAATATCAAAGAAGTCCGTCTTCTGCCGCCTTCCACTCCAGAACTCCTGCCGGCTAGTCTTTGAGGCAGCGGGGGTACTTTATCACTCGCAACGATTCGTTTGTTTGTTTCTTCATATTCGTTCTACAGAATTTTTTTTTTATTCTTATGTTAATCCCCATACATTACATCATTAGTTTTAGATGAAGTGTTCCATGATTCATTGTTTGTGCATAACACCCA